TAAATTCAGATCCTACCTCATTGGCACCAAAGTGATAATTTACACGGACCATGCTGCAATCCGTTATCTCTTTGAAAAGAAGGATGCTAAGCCACGCCAAATTCAATGGATATTGCTATTACAGGAATTTGATATAGAGATTCGGGATAAGAAAGGCAATGAGAATATCGTTGCAGACCATCTCTCACGGTTAGAGAATGAAAAGGTGGTGGATGACAGTCAAATTCGAGAAACTTTCCCTGACGAGATCTTGCTAACTGTATCAATAAAGATCCCATTGTATGCTGATTTTGTTAATTACTTAGAGTCTGGAAGATTGCCACCTGACTTGACCTTTCATCAAAAGAAGAAATTCATCCATGATGTTAAGTCATATCTATGGGATGATCTAATATTGTTCAAAAGATGTGCTGATAGAATAATCAGGCGATGTGTCCCTGGTGAAAAAACACAATCAATCATGCAGCATTGCCACTCTTCACTTTATGGAGGTCATTTCGGTCCTACGCGTACTGCTACAAAGGTATTGCAATCTAGTTTCTATTAGCCGAATCTGTTCAAAGATTGCTATGCTTTTGTGAAGACATGTGACCGTTGTCAGTGCACTGGAAACATTTCAAGGCATCATAAGCTACCATTAACTAATATGCTTGAGGTGGAATTATTTGATGTGTGGGGTATCGACTTCATAGGTCCGTTTTCACCTTCTTTTGGTCAGGTATACATTCTCCTTGCAGTTGACTATGTATCTAAATGGGTTGAAGCCACTGCTACACCAACAAATGATGCAAAAGTGGTTTTGAGGTTTCTACAGAAAAATATCTTTACGCGTTTTGGCACACCTAGAGCAATAGTAAGTGATGAAGGTACACATTTCTGTAACAAGCTGTTCAATTCTCTTCTAGCTAAGTATAATGTCAAGCACAAGTTGGCACTTGGTTATCATCCACAGTCGAATGGGCAAGCAGAGGTGTCTAACAGAGAGATTAACAAATTTTGGAAAAGATAGTGAATACCAATCGAAAGTACTAGTCTCTCAAATTGGATGACGCTCTTTGGGCATATCGAACAGCCTTTAAAACACCAATTGGAATGTCACCCTACCGTCTAGTATTTGGAAAAGCTTGTCATCAGCCGGTGGAATTGGAGCATCGAGCTTATTGGGTTGTGAAGAAATTGAATTTAGATATGAAATTGGTCGGCCACAACGTTTGTTGCATCTTGATGAGTTGGAGGAATTTCGAAATGATTTATACGAAAATGCAAAGATATACAAAGAACGGACAAAAATGTGGCATGACAAGAGAATCTTAAGGAGGGATTTCAAAGCAGGAGAGCGAGTTCTTCTATTCAATTCTCGCTTGAAACTCTTTCCTGGAAAGCTCAAATCCCGGTGGTCGGGACCATTTGTAATTCGTAAGGTATTCCCTTATGGTGCAGTGGAGTTAGTAAGTATGGATGGGTCTACCTTTCAGGCAAATAGACAACACCTCAAGCATTACTATGGAGAAGAAAATAAGGATGTGGAAGAAATTACCCTTGATAAACCAACTTAACACCACGTTCACGTCCAGCTAAAGACGTAAAAGAAGCGCTTATTAGGAGGCAACCCAAGGTTTCATCTTTATTTATTTATTCTGTTTTTGAATTTTAGGATAATTTATTTTATTTCAGAGTTGTTATTTAGGAATTCATCAACCCTACCCGTCCCTTAGGTTTTTGAAAAATCAAGTTGGTTATCAATGTTTGAGCTAAGTACCACTTGTTCCATGAGTTTAATATCCACAATGTGATTTTTCAGGAATATGACGTCGTAGATCAATCAAACAACATTGACAAGGATAAGCTGGATAAATCTCAAGTTTGGGGGGAAAGCTAGAAGAAACATCCATCAAATTCAACATTAGTGCACCAAACCATCGTTGGCAATTCAGACAATTCAGGGAAGTTCTCCTCTTTTTCTTTTAATTTAACATTGGGGATAATGTTTAGTTCAAGTTTGAGCGGAGTGTATTATAAAATGTCTAATTGCCTAAATTTTTTGGTTTTGTCTGATTTGTGAGCAATTTTTTTTCATTTGTGTGTTTTTTTTCAAAAAAAAATATTTGTTCGTTTTTTTTCTATTATTTATTTATTTAATTTTTATTTGTGTACATTGTCAAATAAAAACAAAAATAAAAATAAAAATTCGTGTTTTTGCATGCTTGTGTGAGTTAGAAAGCCTTGCCGATAATAATATATATTATTGAGAACATGCATTAATTCATGGATTATGAATAGGTTATGTGTATTTGAGTTAGATTTTTGCTTGTTCATGTGAAATGGAAAATATTTTCGCACATGAGTTGATGGTAGCATTGTACATGAGTAGGTTGATTGACGTTTGTAGGTTGATTGACGTTTGTAGGTTGAAATAGAGAACTTAGATGCAGAAACCCAAACAACCATTAAACATCACAATACCCTTAAACCAAACTTATGATGTTTGGATGATTGCACTGTTGTTGGGAAATTTGGAGATAAATGAGGATTCTGTATATGCTAAATTTTGTGTGGATTGTCTGATACCAATAGGATTAAAATTGGGTGAAAACCTTAAATTAGATGTCGATTTTCGAGAATAGGTGTTTAATAAGGGGCATTACACTAATCATCGCATAAAAAAAAGATCCCAATGAGAACAGCTTTAATAATCTCATTGTGAAGCGTTTCTTTATAGCTTTTATGACTCGAGTGATTAAGCCTGCAAAGGTTTAAAACCTGGTGCCCTAAAGTCATCTGATTTGGGAGTTATTGGCCTAAAGTTTGCTACATAAATCATTTAGAAAGTTTAAGGGAGAGACGTCCACACAAAGAGTGATCAAAGAATAAATATATATATGAAAAAAGAGAAAAAAAATTAGATATCAAATGCCTTGATTAAGCCCTGAAAACTTATTTTAAAGGATTAGACCTTTGATAAGGGGTTGGTAATTTGATTGATTCCTAGAGGTTGAAGCAGTCAAAAATAAGGAGAGTCCTCATTTGTTGATATGTTGAGCTGCAATCAGTGAAATCTAACCAAACTTGAGCGGTGTAAGATATTAGTATTAAAAATTAACTTTAGAATACACCTTGGGAAGCGAAAAAAAGAACAAGTGTGGGGGTGTGTGAATCCCACGAGTGAGGCAAGGAAATATTTAAGGTCGGGAATTGGGTCAACTTATTATTGTACAGCGTAGCACTTAACTCTTCACACACGCGCTCGTTTTGCACTGAATAGGTGAGAATTTGGCTCGTGCATTATAACTTTAAAGTAATTCATACAATTGACGCTATATTTTTAATCCTAAGGCAAGGTGTCTAAGATAATGTGTTTTTTTTTTCAAGTGATTTTGTGTGCTTTAATTATGTTTGTGTGCTTGTTAATGACTTTCTATGTTTTGGTGTTTGCACGAGGACTAGCAAAATATTAAGTTTGGGGGTGTTTGATGAGTGATATTTCACTCTTCATATCAAGGCCATTAAACTTATTATTTAGTTGATTCTCATGTAGTTTAGAGGTGCTAACATGTGGTTTTCATGCTATTTTGAAAGATGGATGAAGTGGAGAAACAAGTGATAAAAGAGGCCAAATGAAAGAAATAGGCAAAAGTTGGTGAAATTGGATGAAATGACCAAAATGTAAAAGATCCAAAGTTCGAGGACTAAGGTGCACATAATCAAAAGTTGTGTCGAAACTTGGAATGAAGATACGAGAGTTCTGGAAGCCAATTGGATGAAGAAAGATGTCAAAGGGATCAAATTTAGTCAAGATATGATCATAAATCATTTTCCAACCAAAAAGTTTTGCACCGAATTTTTAGTCTCACATTCAGACCCATTTTCGACACAGCAAACGATCGAATTGGAGAATGATGCCTGAAGTAAAGTTGTAGCCCTTTGAATTACCTTTTCAACGCATCTTAAATCACCTCAATTGGATATCGGAAGAAAGAATTATGATAAAAATACTGAAAGTTGTGCGGTGCAACCGAAGTGGTCACAAGCGCCCAGGCGCTATCCCTCAGCGCCTAGGCGCCATGTTGCTGTAATTTTTTACAGAAAGTCAGCACCCAGGCACCGCCTTGCGGGAGTAATTTTTTGGGTTTTTACCATTCTTTCTCTGCCCAACTCATCCCCAAATCTTTCCAAAACTCCTACACACTATAAATACATTCCAAATACCTAATTTCAAGGGGTTGGACGACTGAAGAGAAAGAGGCAAAGGAAACATCAATTGAGAGGAAATTCACCAGATTTGGAAAAGAAATCAAACAGCAAACTGAGTTTTTCTTATCTTTTTCTTCTCCATGATATTAAATTTGTATTTTATTGTGTTTCTCTTCTCAATTATGAACTAAACTTTTAAATCTAGGGTTTGATGTAACCTATTTGAGATATGATTTAATTTCTTTATAGTATTTCCATTTAATTTTCCAGAATTGATTTTTATTTTCTTGCTTAATGCTTTTGGTTGCCTGATCACCAATTGAATGAATTGATGTTCTAAATTTCACGCTCGAGAGAGGGAAATTTAGGCATGATCTAAGAACAATATAACCTAGATTTGTAGGTTTCGAGAGAAGGTGCAAATCTTTGAGGGTAAAACAAGAACCAATTGCGTGATAATCTTTATATATTTAATTCGGAATAGAGATATTGGGGTTAAAATATAGAGATATGTTCTATTTGACACTCGAAAGGGGGAAATAGAATTAATTTAGGATTCTTGCCTATGAATTCGGGAAATAGTTGATGGAAATATCTATAGGAATTGGGAATTATGTCGAGAATATGGTGAAATCACTCCCTAGACATTACGTAATTTTGATTTAATCTTTAGAAATTGCCTCACTTTTATTGTATTATTTAATTCATTGACATTAGTTTAGTATTCAAATATCAGTTTAACACCCGATTGTCTAGATAAAGTAAACGCGAACACAATTATAGTACTCAGTGGAAGTCGAATATCAATCCCTGTGGGTTCGACACTTTTCAATTCTTTAATATACTACAAAACTTGATACCGTGCGCTTGCAGTATAAAATCACGTTATATAAATCGCGTGGCAATGGCAAGGATTCAAGTACTTGCCATACAAGAAAACTATCTGCTAAGTAAACTTTCATTCCTTTCAGCTTGTTAAAGAAATGAGTAAGCTTCATAATATGCTCTCAAACTCCGCTAACCCCATCATAGGTTGTGGTAGTAAGAAGTTTCATCAAAGTTCCCTCTTTTGCCTTGTCAAACTTAGTAAATTTCTTCCCAACTGCCTCAAGATATTCTTTGGCATTATCTGTATCAGATATGCTCTGCCTAATGGACTTATCAATAGTATACTTCATGATCATAAGACAAGTCCTATTAGAATGCACCCATTGCTTATAAAGAGTCTTTTCAGCTGCAGTACTTTCACTAGTGGGTTTCGTAGGTGCATCAACCCTCAAAGCCAAATCCAAATGCATAATAGCCAAATTAATAGTGAGAGATTCATGCCAATCCTCATAATTGGTCCCTATTAGACTTTTGATGACATACAGAGAGAGACATAGCTCCATTGCCATATGCTGAGGAGAATACAGTAAAAAATATATTAAACATATAAGATGATAAACATGCACCCATAAATGTATCCACTAGGCAATTTTATATCCATACTAGAGATTTATTCAAAATAAACTCTTACGAACTATACTAGAGCCCAAGACACACTCAAGGCTCTTACGCATGACAAAACAAAATAATTAAATACAAGGATTTAAGATGGCCCACTACCAAGAGGATAGAATTAGGCCACTAAGTACCAAGCACTTAATTATTATCTTTGTCGTCCTAAGCATCCTACGAAATAATAATTTACCGACAGGCAAATTTACTATTCGTATGGATCTTAGTAAAATGTCATTTAGCGGAAACATAAATAATACAACAATCCCAATAATTTATCATAACTAGACCCACAAGAGGTGAGTACATAGCCACTCCAAAACATCGGTATTACAACAAGGTGATTTAACTCACATGGAAAAAAAAAATTTACTCTCGACAAAAGACCTTATCCATTACAACCAATATATATATATATATAAAATAATCAGAAACATTTTTTGGATAAGGAATAATAATCAGAAACATACATCCGTAAAAACAAAATCCCAAGAAATTTGGTCCAATGGTATAAAATCTCACAAAACAAGCTGACGCACATAGCTCATTGCACCAAGACCATTAAAGACAATACATAATGCTGTAAAGAATGCCAAAACATCATTCAAGTGATTATGTATATCTGATTGTCTCGTTTCTCGCATAGGTGATTGGATAAATTAATTTCAGCAACCTCCAGCTCCAAGGAGGCAGAAAAAAGAAAATTTAATAAATCCATTTCTCGATAATGGTTACCGCAAGTTCTTTCAAAAAGGGCACTCAACAAGACAGTCAAAATTTGTTCCAAAAATTTTAAGCCAATGTTTGGCTTTCTCAGAATCACACAGCCATGAAAATGAGAAGGTGGCTCTGATACCATTTGCTAAAAATCTATAGAAACATCAATAACTCCTTATTGTCATAGCATGTTCACCAATAATAAAAGAAAACATACTTCTCATAGCTTGTGATTGACCGTTCATGGATTCCTGACTGTAAAGAAGATGAAAAACTTGATATGGAGAGAACTACTCTCTAACCCCTTTCAAGCCCTTGGAGCTGTCCTCTTTGTTGCTCAAAAATTGTGAGGACAAAAAAGCCAAAGTTTATATATATATGTGTGTGTGTGTGTGTGTGTGTGTGTGTAGGATTCAATGGGCCTACCCTATACAAGGTGGGTTGAGAGTAGGGGCCTCAAAAACGCATTAGTAAAAGGGCCATCCCATTATGGGTTCAAAAATGACCAATAAAATGCAAGTCCATAAAAAATAAAATAGGGTGCCGGAATTACACAAACATATATAACGGAACAGACAATTTTTTTATGCAATTTTGATAGGTTTGAGTTCAGATAATAAAATTTCAAAGAAATTCCGATCTTGCTAGTGAGCATCGTTTTCTCAACATTGATTTGAAGCAGCTATGTAATGGATGACATTTTATGTATTTGCAGTTTTACCAATTCCAAATATGTTAGAAAGCAAAGTACAAAACTCGAGGAAGCTCTCACAGTGCATTCTACTTGTAACGGAAATGAGATTGCAATAAATCTGAATCAAATTGTAACTATTGTTACCCAGAAACATATCAAAGCACCAGCAAATGTACAGTGTATACCTCATCCGTAGTAACTTTCAAACGTAGTATTAAACAAGATTGAACAATTCAATAAATTAGATTTCAACGTCCTTTTATATAAAGTTTAACACTGTACAATCTATTTTACTAAGTAAGACAAAATGCTAGAAAACTTCATTGACTACGTGAAGTTTGTAGTGTCTTTTGTTTAAAAACAAACAATAATTGTGAATTTCAATATGTTATTAATAAATTCTGTAACCTTTCTGATAGTACTATTGCTATGGATTCATCCCCGTTTGGGAGTTATTTTTCACCCCAAGAATTTGATTTTTTGACTGTTATTTCACTATTTCAACTGTAATTTTTGATTTTTTCTTTCACAGGTACCCTCCACTTTATAACACACATGCATAAAACTTCGACGATTTTAAACAAAATTTATCCTTGAACATAATTATATATATTCATGAAATTTACATTACATTAAACTATATATGTACTCGATTAGCTCAATTACAGAGTCAAGTAGTTCCTTAAATTATTTTTGACTAATTTTACCTTCTTCTTTTTGTGGACACTCCTTTTAAATTATCTTTATTTCAATTCACGCACAACTACATTGATGAATTTTAGTTACAGAAAACAGATATTAAAAGAAGTTCTCATAAGTAATGTAAGAAATGTAGCCATTTTTCATTCTCTGTAGCCTTTCTAATTTTCAAATTGTTTATTTTCATTTCTATTGATTCCTTCCCCACCTCCCCCCCCCCCCCCCCCCAAAAAAACAAAAAAAAAAAAAAAAAAAAAAAAACAAAACTCTCATGACCGTCTCCAAACCTAATGATGGCAATGGGATCCAAGTTGGTCCTCCTCATTCTCCACTTAGATCAATAATTTCTAGGAAGCTGGTTGAGTGGGACAGAATAGGAATTAACATATTCTAATTTATATATTTATTATTTATTTTTAATATAATTTTATTATTTTTAAATTCATTTTAAGTTTAAGCCCCTATTTGGGCCAAATTTTGTTTAACCATCAAATCAGCCCACTATTCTTGACTTTAACATGCACATGCGAGGTCCAATTGAACAAACAACGATAAAAAATTTGTGAAAATTACACGGTTCCCTACTTTAAAAATTCACAATTTCAAAATAAGATGGATAGTTTAACATTTCAAAAATCAGAAGTTTTATTTTAATTAATATTTTTTTAAAATAAATATTTTTACTAAATATATATACTCCATTATACACACAAACCCTAATTAATTCCCAATATTCTCTCTCTATATTTCTCTCTCGTCTCTCGTCTCTCGTCTCTCGCTCTATTCCCTGAAGAAAACATAGCAGTCACTAATTTGTTTGTGTGGTGACGGATCTGTGTTGTGGAGGGAAAGATGTGGTGTGGTGGTTGCGTGGTGGCGGCAGATCTATGCGGTGTGGGGGTGTTTGGCGATAGCGTGGGAAGATTGTGTTTGGTGGGTGGATGTGGTGAAAAGATAATGAAAGAAAATTCACAAAACAGTGTTTTTGCAGGTGAATCTCTCCTCAGAGTGAAAAGACCATAGAAGGCAGATTGAATCCTTGTTGCGAAAATTAGAAGTTCCCATTTTTTTGCTCGGATTGTGGAGTCAAATGAACCTCTTTGGTCAAAAAGAAGAGATTCAAAAGCCTCTCTCAAACCTTCTGAGATATTTGAAAGAAAATTGACATAAGATTCTTCATAAATTTAAAAATTTGTGAAAGAGAAGAATCCTATTAATGTTGTAGGGTGTCATATGTTGTTCTCTTTCAAATGGAGATGTAGTGGTATGGTTAACAGAATCTCTATCTATGTCTAGGTCATTATATTGGTGGTGGTGTTGTAGGGTAATGGTGATGGGGGTTCCCGTAATGACGGTGGTGTTGGTGGCAGTTGTTGTTTGGTGATGGTCACGGGTTAATTGGTTGATTGTGACCATTAAATTAGTTAATCTGTGACCAATCCAACTAATAAAAAAATTGTGATCAAAAAATAATGTGTGATCTAAAAAATTAATAATTTGTGACTATTTAATAAGTTGTGACATATAATATTTGTGACATTAATATAATTAATTAATTAAATTATAAATAAAATTTAATGAAGATTAGATTTTTGAAATTTGAAAACTTGTATTCTTACTTTTGAAATGTGTAATAGTTATTCTCTTGGTTATGAAATTTCTACAAATTTCCCGAATAATTTTAGGCGAAGACCATATTTCCCATCCTATACAATGCAACTGGGGATGTGAGAATTCAAGAGATTTTGCGATCCCTATTCAAGTCTAAAGTAAATTTCCGGGCCGAAAGGCCCAATAATTGCACCTTTCACGTTGCGGGCCCGTATCAGGTTTGCCAGAAAAGTCCTCCGTGGCGGAATAAGGTGGTTAGATGGACCCCGCCACCCACACCACCATTCCAGTAGTAACAGGTTTCACTGAAACCAAAAAGCCACCGCCAATGAAGAAATCTTGCGATCAGGGGTTACATATAATGAAATTTAATCAACCCAGGGTTCTAATTTCGAGCCCTAAGCTTCATTAGTCGAAAATGATCTGGGAAATTTCGGGCTTCGTCTGGGCTTTCGCTTCAGGTATTTTAATATGTGTTTGTCGATAGTAAATTTTTTTCCCCCTGAATGATGCTAGGCACTTTACAAAGTTGGATCTTGGGAATTTGATTTTCATTGCTCTTTTAGTTTTTAATAGTTGCTTATAATGGGAGCATTGAGTTGCATTTCCTGACATGATCTTTTGGGGTTTATTTATTTTTGTAACGAAGCTGTTTGTTTATTTATTTCCTGCTTATTTTATTTTATTTTATTATTTTTGGTGCTGCAGATGTGGGTTTGATAGTATTTATGGTTTCAGTTTATTTTTCTTTTATTGTCATCTGCTTCTGATGAATTTGTATTTATGATAAAAAGATGAAGACATTAAAAAAGGTATCTTTTTGTTGGTTATTGTGGAAATCAAGAAAAAGTTAGTTCAAGTGAAAAGTATATTATTTTCGTTTTGTAATTTTTAACGGTGATATAGAAGTTTTGAAATTTTTGGTTTATTTTAAGGATGAAATGAATTAAGAAGAAAATCGTTTCCGGACTCCAAATATAGGATTTCGTAGTTTTTGAAATTTTCACGACATCAAAATTTGTTTCCAAACAAGGATTTCGTACAATGCGAGTTTAAAAAGTTCACTTAAAATGACTTAGAAGAAATAAAAAATATTCACATATGGAAATGAAGACAATACTTTTTCTTATATGTAAGCTGAGCCAAACATGCATCACGAGTTGAGATCCACCATCCAAATTTGACTGTCCTACTTGCTGTCTATCAATGATTCACTGGCACGTTATCTTACACCTATTTTTAAACACAACTAGCAATGAAAGAAACATTGGACATGTTAATTTAAAGTGATGTGTCAATGAATTATTGGGTGGACAGCAAGTTTTACCTCCAATTTTGGACAATTGAACTCTGCCCATCATAATAAAAGATGAAGACGACAAAAACCTTAATCTCATGTGTATTTCGTCAAAGAAGAGTGGTAATGGCCATTAATATATAAGATAAATTTACCATTTTTAAATAATATTAAAATAAATGTATGAATTGACGCTCAACTATATGGTCGTCATTAATGCTACCAAAAATAAATGGAGAAAAATTGAAGCTATTCAAAATAAATAGGAAAATTTCCATCCACTAAAATTAAATAATCTTTTCCAAACTACTCAGTCTCGACTTTGCTCTCGTTTCTTCACTATCTTGACTAGTCCTACTATATTTTCCAACCTAAAATTTTTTCCGTGTTGGAAATCACGTTTTGCACTCGAATGTTACACTTTATGCATTTATGATGAATTGACTAAAGATTGACGAGTTACAACATATTCAAGAATCTCTTTATACGAGATGTTCTCTATTTTAGAGAGCCAATGCTAAAAAATAAGCTTCAAGATATATTTATTTTAACTTTTTAAAGTAGAGTGCATGTGACTTACTCTATAATGATTGCATTTAGTAAGTTATAGATTTCAATGTTCCACTTCTGAAATTATTCATTTTAATTTGAATTGATTGGTCATTGACATAAAAATAATAATAAATAAATAAATAAATAAAATGTGTGTTGAATAATGAGAAATCAATAAAAAAATTTATCGAAAAAGCAAAATGAGGAGCCTAAATAGATAGAATTATTGGAGTATATAAAAATTTCGTTCTCTAAATTTAAAGGAGCCCTATATCATATATAAGATGAGATACTCCTATATGCTTGAATCTATAAGTGCTATCTTTCTTGACATGGAAGCATATGTGCAAAACATGCATTTAAGTCAATGAGTCCTGTATTCCTTGAGAGCATGTGGAGCATGGTTTTGGAAAGGTAATTTCAAGTACATTTGAGCTCTACTTGACATTGTGAACTGCTATTTGAAATTATTTTTTTCCAGACAGTGTTTCGTACAATATCAAGTGCTACTTTGCAAAATATCAGAGATGTTACATCTACATATATTGTGTAAGGTGAAGGGTGGTGGAGAATTCTTGTAAAGGGATAGACAAAGGCATATGTTTCCTATTGATATAAAAAATGATAGGCTAGTTTCATTGATGTAAGACTCTTGATTCAGTAGTCAACTCAAATCATTTTGAAGTATGATCATATGGATTTTAGCAATCTCAAGGTCTTGCTGTGAATATCCAAAATAGTAGAGAGATTCAGTTTGATAACAGTGGATAAAGGAAAGAATAAACCTTAGTTTTTCACTTTTTATAGCAAAATTCGTAGACTATGCAAAGGAAATGTGTAGATTTATCTGAAAGAGGAATGTAGTCCCCCCCTGAGGAGTAGAAGGTAGAACACTTAATGTTGAAAAATATTCCAGTTTTAGGGATTCAAATGACCATTTTGCATGAAGTCATGGTTTATTCTCTATTAAAGAGAACTTCTTTCGTGCAGCTAACATACAAATTGATTGTGTATTTGTGTCTCACACAGTACAATGATTAACCCTAACCCCGAATAATTTTGGAACTTTTTCAACTGCTTCTTTATTGTATAGTAACTTTTCCTCACCTTTCTGAAGAAATTGTTTGTTTTATGACTTCACTTTAGTTATCAGTTGGCATAAAGCTAACAATTTGAAGAGCTGGTTGGTGTTTGAAGCACCTAAAGTTGTAATATAACGTTTATTCGCATCATTATAATAAATTAATGGATTCAGGTTCATATAGGACCTGTCTCTGCTTTTATCTTCTTTTGATTCCATTACGCTCACCCAATGAATCTTCACACTATCTTTTCAACATTTCTTTGCTTTGAAGTAAAATTTCTTGATCTAAGATTTTCTAGTCTGTTTCAATATGGTTGTTCTGTTCCTGAAGTGCTACTAACTTACCTGAATATGCAAAAGAATGTTTGTTTAAATGTGGAGAAAAGGGTTGGTTTCCGAGTTTGCAAGTATAAGATTTGCACTTGATGACCATATTGAACAACATTTGACAATAACCAATTTTCCATCCGTAGAACCATGCTCATTTGGTGGGATGTTTTATCTTGGAAAACAACCTTGCAATTAATTATTTATGGAGATACCTGTGTCCTTATTTTGGATGTCTATCTACTATGTTGCAGGTTCTTGGTGTCATTGGCTACTGCTATTTGCTATCGTGTCCTCTATCTATCAGAATGTATTGACTTTGCAGACAGCTCTTGAGCCCTCTCGCATTTCTTCTGTGTCTATGCTAAAAGCTAGCCCACCAAAAACTGGAGTCTTTAAGCCCATAGAAATATCACCTGCCTTTATACCGCATTCTCAGTTTCCCGGGGAATCATTGCCTCCAATGTATCCTACTTTTCCACCTACCTATGATCCTGTCTTAACTGGAAGGTGTCCTGTAAATTTCTCTGCCATTTCAAGTATCATGAACAAAACAGCATCTGATTGTGATCAAGTCTTTGCACCTGTACTAGGAAATGTTATATGCTGCCCACAGTTCAGTAGCTTGCTCCACATATTCCAGGGATTCTACAGCATTAGTTCTGATAATTTAGTTTTACTAAATGCAGTTGCCGATGATTGTTTTAAAGACATCATCAATATATTAGCCAGCAGAGGAGCGAGTGGCTTGATACCTTCCATCTGCTCTGTAAAGTCTTCAAATCTCACAGGTGGCTCTTGCCCGGTGAAGGACATAAATACTTTCGAGAAAATAGTGAACACAAGCAAATTACTGGATGCTTGCACAGCAGTCGATCCACTTAAAGAATGCTGCAGACCAATTTGTCAGCCTGCAATTATCGAGGCTGCACTTAAGATATCTGGGACGCAATCATTTGTGAATAATGATACAAATCATCTTGACATGCTTAATGATTGTAAAGGGGTGGTGTATTCATGGATGTCTAGGACACTTCCACACGATGCTGCTGATACAGCATACCGTATATTGTCTGCCTGCAAGGTTAACAAAGGTGTGCTTTATTGGGATTTTTTGGCTGTTCAATTATCTTGTTACAAGCCATGTCTTTGAGAATGCTTTATGCTCCTTTCACCTTCTTTACTAATCATATCGTTCATTTGTTGTACATCTATTCATCATTACATGTAATCTTACCCAAGTTAGACATTTACCAAAACCATTTTTCTTCTTAAGTTTTGGATAATATCTGGTTCTTCAAGTATCATGGAATAACATAATATAATTGTAGATAAATCGCTGGTGACATTGATCTGGAAGAGTTTAAAAATAACTGTTATTATCTCCTTCAAACTTCCTTTCAGAACTAGAATTTCACATTGATGATATTACTTTACTTGCTGAAAAGTACTGCTGATCTAAATTCTCTTCTATTTTTTAAGTATGTCAACCATTTGTATTGTCTTTGTAATTAGCTTCCTTCCGGTGATGAAGAGAGAAACTTGTAAGCCTTGGTAATACACCCTTTGCGAAGTTTTAAATGCAGCTTATCTAAGATGTGTTCTAGTTTATGAAGCAATCGACAATTGGTTATCTTAATCAGAAGTGCACCCTTACAGTATGAAATAGTAACTAACATGTATATTAAGATGCCTATTATTAGTGAAGGAAGATAGCAAAAATGTCTGGGCTGTTCATAAGATGCTCGACAGGTTGTTGACAAAGAGAATATGAGTGGAGATGCATGACAGTTTATTTTTTATGGTTCAGCCCTTTAAAGGATGTGGATGTACTATTTGCTTGTAGTTCTGTTTATATATTCCTATAAATATTTACTTTCTTGAATGTAGCTTGTCCATTGGCTTTAAAGCAGCCATCAGAAGTCATTGTAGCATGTAAAAATGTACCTGCTCCAAGCCCTTCATGTTGTAGCTCATTAAATACTTACATCGCGGGAATACAAAAGCAAATGTTGATAACAAATCGCCAAGCAATAATCTGTGCAACAAGGTTAGGGTACATGCTACAGAAGGGTGGGGTGATGACCAATATTTTTGAGCTTTGTGATGTGGACTTGAAAGATTTTAGTCTCCAAAGTATGCGTTTGAATTAAGGTTTTCATTTTAGAATCTTTTATTGAAGTTATTAGTATCCTGGATCTAATTTTCTCTCTCTTTTGTTTTGTTGCTGGAGCAGCAGCTGATGGACAACAAGGTCATTTTTTTCCCTCCACTTTTATGTTGCCTAATTGGATCTTCTTTCCCTGTGTTGCATGTTCAGGTTTCCTATTACAAGCTATTTAATAAATTTTGGACTTCCATTTATAGATTATGTCTTTCTGGGGGATAGAGAGGATATTATGGGATTCTTTCGAACGCAAAGTCCTGGCTTTTACCTTGCCTCTTTGCCTTTATTTTATATTGATAATATCTTCAGATGTCTATCAAGAAATCAGTCACCATATTAATGATTTAATCACAATTTTGTTTGTCACTCTACATTTTATCTACAAAATTTTAATTTTAGTAAAATGGTAGTTGGAACTGCCTATTAATAGCCACTTGGCACTCAACATAGGGAAATACATCTTTCCATATTTTTATAATATTTCTTCTTGATTTTTCATCAAGATTACCAAGAGATAAAAATATGTGTACTGGCTTTTTATGTGTATATGGTGCTGACATATTTTCTTATATTTCTAAGTCTTAAGCATTTCTATTTTTAATAACCTCAATCTTCAAGGATTCTATTTTCTGTCGAAAATCTTTTGAAAAAATTCCTGTCATTTTCGGTGCACAATTTCGAGGAAACATTTTAGAATGTAGCATGTCTGCTATAAATTTGGAAAGTATTCAAGGATTTTGGTGACTGATTGACCAAGTTTTTTAGCTGGTTGTGGTCTTCACCTGCATATCTTTTCTTCCAGAAAGGGAAGTAATTAAATTAAAAAGAAAGATTTCTTTATTCAAGAACCAAAGGTTTAAAACTTCTGATTTGGTTCTACTGGTCATACAATTTGAAGGTGGGAGGCTCAGTTGATGAGAACCTTTGTAGCCAACGGCATATTTATAATTATATACAACTGCTTGTTCTATCTTATGCTGGACTGAGACATATCTTCTTAAATGAGATCGAGAGATGGCACTTCTAGGAGATTGTTGGTAAAATAATATATAGTTCTTGCTGATGAATACTTTCACATTGACTCAGGGTGTTTGCTTCAAAGCTTGCCAGCAGATTTGGTGTATGATAAGTCAGCAGGCTTAAGCTTTGCTTGTGATTTGAATGACAATATTGAAGCTCCATGGCCTTCATCATCTTCTCTCACGTCATTATCTCTTTGTGCTCCTGGTAATGGTTCTGAAAAACTATATGATAATCTTTTCATTATGTAAGAAAAATTACCAACTTGACCCTTAGCCCAAGTATTATATTTGGTTATTTACTAAAATCGCCCTTTGGAGGGGAAGTACGGGATCGCAGGTCTCTTTATTAGTTCCTATTTGTGGTGCACAATTTCCTGGAATGTAGGTAGTGGTTATGATCGATTCGATAGAAAGGAAGAGATAGTTTGTATTTTTCGTTGGGGATTTCCTGGAAAAAATATCCCCCGTTCATGGGGTTGGAAAGACGTAATGTAATTGTTGATGATCATACAAATTCATAAATGAAGATATTATGATGAGTTTTTCTTCAATTTGCAGAGATGTCCCTGCCAGCACTACCAACATCCAAGACATTCAGTAACCTTGGTGAGTATTTATTTTGATATACAACCTTCGTTCATTTTATGTGTGTGCTGTGACCTCATTAATTTATTTTTCATCACAAACAGTTATTAGAAATATATACAGTAAACTGTCTGGCTTAATCAAGCAATGCAGTCCTTCGTCATAGGACATTGCTAGGTCATTTTCCATATTTTCTGAAGTACCACCTAGTCAGTAGTGGAGGAAATATTCAAGGTGTAATTTTATACATCAACGGGTGTTAAATGCACGGCTCTATGTATCAGCTTTTCCCAGTCTCCCTTTTTTGAATCCATTCACACACTCTGAATACTTTGCGTAACTTCACATCTCTTCAGAAAAGTAGTTCCTGTATATCCGCACTGAGTTTTCTAGCACAATTCTCACTCTCTGAAACTATTGTTTAATCATACTTTTCTTCACTGACATTTCTTGGAATTCTTCAATATGTGGACTGAAGAAAGATGAGGGTTGAAATTATGATGTGAAGAACCTACGTGTTTTCTCAACTTATCCCTAAAATTGTGATCTGTCAAATCTGGACTTAGTGCAGAGCAGTAAAAGATTTTTTTTGTGATTCACATTCCGAGAGAAATGCTTATGCTATAGCTAATTAGCCGATGGCTTCCCATCTGCAAATTTTGCACTTTTGGTAGCTGAATGCAATGTCAATTGCCTGATAAATACATTGGTGGTGTAATAACTTTATGTTTTGTTGTTTCTGAGTCATGGTCCTCATAACTTACTTTCCCCTGCTTTTTGGTTGGAAATATGAAGACTTTTTTCTCTTTTCTTGAATGGCTAAGATGTCTGAAAACTTAATTATTTGATATTTTCAGTGGTTAAAAGGCTGATATTCTGTTCATCTCTAATGCAGGCTATCGTGGGGGTTGGACAGATCTCTTTGTACCCATTTTTACTTTTTTGGTTTTTGGAACATTATTGTTATAAAAAGGTTTTGCGGAGTGCTGGGTTGATTTTAGTTGAAGGGCTTTAGATTGCCCCTAGCAGATTTACATGTAAATATTAATACCTTCCCTTGCATATATTAGAAGCTAATTTGGTCATCATTCTTGATTGAATTTATAATATGAAGGATTTTCAGGATTTCTAGGTAGTACCATTGGGTGATTTCACCCCGGGTGAGAACACTTGTGGTTTTGATGCGTATATTGATACTAATTTTATGTTGCAAGTAATTGGAATTGACTGTGCATTATTATAGTGGAAAATTTGGTAGGAGGCAAGCATTGTGAAAACTGGGCCGACTTCACCATGTCTCCTGGTCCCAAGGTTCAAGCTTTTCTACAAAGTTACTCTTTTAGTGGGATGGCTATCAATACAAATCCATGCAGGGGATGACTTAAATTGTGACTCCATTAGCCATGTATATATGAGGTTTTCATATGGTAAACCCCATTGGTTATTACATTTTTTTAATAATTTCAGTTCTTTCTATGAATTAGAGGACCAAAATATACAAATTTTGTTATGTTCGAATTTTTTTCTTAAGTTTCTATTAGTTATAATATCTTAGTTTAAGTACTCTGAGAAAGTTACAAATTTATTCAGGGTCAGGTTTTGTTGATTCGATGTATATGCCTATGGGCAAGTGAGGGAAGCTTGTATGTTAATTGAACAAACTTTTTAAAACTCAATAATGGCTTCTTGCAGGATTCCCTTATTCTGGGGTCCTCGACCTTTTTGAAAGAGGGATAAGCATGCCCAGTACAGGGAAGAACTCTTCTTGATTTCAGGACTTGAGGAATGATGGATTGTTCTCTAACAGAGGTGAAAAGACGAAGGTTTGGTGCTCATTTCATGCTTACTTTATAAAATGGCAATACTTGCATTGGCCACTTGTGTTTTCGATTAAGATTAGATTCACTTCAAACCGTAAAAGTCCGGTATACTGAATTCCTTTACCCTAGGTAATTGTGTTGTCGTGTTGATGATCATGTGGTTTGGCTACATAACTTGAAGTTCATTGTATCCTCTTGCCATTCCTTGAGTGCTAGAAAAAACAATGCTCTAGGCAAGTTTACACATAACTTGTGTGAGACACCAAAACTTCTCAAAATGTTTGAAAAGAGTCTAGCTTGATTACTTGCAAAGTTTTGAAATAGATTCTCTTATTTCGCTCACCAAAAAAATCTTTTAATGCCGTGCAGTAAAATTACCTGGTGGAAGTGTATAGTTGTGTGTCATGGAAAAGCAGCATTTCAACTTCTGCCGTCCATGAATAAGTTGTATCTCCTAAATTGCACGTGTAAGGGCGAACAACCTAAGAGGAAAGGGTTTTCTCTTCTTGATGATTTTGCTTTGGACATGTATTCATGACTTTTACCCATGGAAACTTTATTTTGTCTCTCTTATAGGGATTTGAGTCCAATGGCTGACATGCAAGAGCATGCCCTTGTGTGGCCCTTGTGTGGATGCAACTCTATGCAGTACGTTTCCCGTGCTGCCTAAATCTGTGCGAGAACCGCCATTTTCTACATCTACCAGACATGGGTTCTGATCTCTTCCTTCCATCAAAGTATTGTTTTGCCGTTATTTGCTTCTTGCCTTCTTTCAATAGAAGTCTATCTGAAAAAGAATGAAATCTGTTATAAACCTCAGCCTGGAAAAAGGCCTGTCTATGCAGCTAGTCATTTTCCATTTATCTTGGCATATGGTCTGGCTGAAATTTTATTCACTCATTCCACTCGGCTTGTGCTCCATTGTTGCTCATCGTCATATGTTTTGTCTCTCAGTGCCACAACAACAGGAAAAATTATATGGTTTTGGGAATTACAGAAAATATGCCACCTGGGTAAAGAGGGTATTGTTTTGTACATGTAATCTTTCTAATTATGATATGAATAATATTATTCATAGTCAGCGATTACAGTATTCATCTTTATGTAGCAGCTTGCTATTTGAGACATTAGTTTTCTGTTGCCTTAAATAATAAGCTAATGTTTCAAATGACAAACTGTCACGTAAGAATCACTACTATAGTCACTGACTATGAATAGCATTATTCTCATGATAATGATACAAGATTGTTTTGTTATTGTACCTTCTCTTCTTGGAGAGTTAAGTGGATCAAATTCTGGTGCCTAGTTATGATGAAGACTGATGAGAACTTAAAATTGTAAAAGAGGGAGGAGGAAGAGGGGGTAGAATTAGGAAAGAATAAGAGAGGGAGAGATGAGATACAACAATTGAGAGGGAGGCATTGTAGTTTATTGATTATCAAAGTGTGGTTACAATGAAAGGTCTTACAAGTCCGCGGGGAATACTTAATCTGTGGTCTTCATCATTTTCCTGGTTAAGAGAACTTGATTCCAGTAAAATGGACTGCAACTTCTTATTGAAGGGGAAGATCATTCTTTTGGATCAAATGTCAATAATGTGCTCTTGATAGCAGCGTACTATGCAATTGTTCAACAAAAAAAATCTATTGCATCCACATGATGAGGTGCACAAGGGACTAGCATGGTAGACTAGTTCTGCAGAAATATATGATTACAACATAAGGAAGTAATTTTGCTATATCGGGGAAAAAAAACCATTCAAAGTTTGGTTACCTATCAAACAAACAAATTAATTTCAAGCAATGATATGTATAGGAAGCCATGTTGAAGAAACACGAAACAAAACATAGTAAATCCTGTTGAAGTATATATGTTCATAGTGGACGTCAAAAGTAAGCAGATAATCGTCATTATTAAGGTCAACAGATGTTCCAGTCAAAGCAATGTGATGGTAACTAGCAGACAACATTCTATCATGAATGCAGAACTTATGAAATTAAACCATTGCCTTGGAGAACATTGAAGCAACACAGGGACCATCAGTAGTGGTAGGAAACTCTTTAAGACAAACTCAATGTTAAAGTCATACATAAGACTAGAAGATAATGATTTTGGTATTAAGTTGAGGACATGCATTTGTAGGAGGCAACTCTATATATTATTTCAAGTATCATTGTTATATGTGTCTACTAATAGTGAAAGATGATCCACAAGTAATCAACTTCATAAAAACTTGAGAAGCCTTCATTTTTCCATTATCAGCACTTTGATATTCTCTGTTTCCATTTTCATAGTTCAAACTGTTTGAGCTGATCGTCTCTACAGTCTTTTTCTCCTCCACTTGTTTCATGTTTGTGCTTCTCCTCCTTCTCCCTGTTGTGTCCTCCGTCTGTGTTGCAGCATCAAACTTCCTACCAAGTTCTCGGCTAGATTCAGATTTATAGATTACCCTGTAATTATAGTTGTCCTGCTCTTGAGGGTTTTCAAATGAGCTCCATGACTGATTTTTCTTCCTTTTTGCAGAAACGGAGATTGAACTCAGGGCTTTTGACTGCAATGTGGAAGAGCTTTGATGAAGCTCGGATCCTTTCAGAATGTAGTCGTTACCATTAGTGGGTTGTAACATGTCGTCTTCAGATAAGTCATGCCATACATATCCATTCTTGTAGCTTCTGCATCATTATATGCTTGTTTTAACCAAAAATTACTTGAGAAAAAGAAAAGTTTGCTAGCTTTTAGATTGTTCTCTTAAACCAAGTGATCTAAAAGCTAGAATTTCTAAAGAGAACAAATTTGATAACTGAAATCGGATCCTCTAAATCACCTTTTCATGTGCAAGTTGTGGTTAGTTTCATCTAAGGCATGATTAGTTGCACAATTTTCATCAAAGCTCCTTAGCATGCAACTCGATTCTTTTTTTTAAGTCAAATTTACATTTCCGTAAATGCTTAGGTGGATGCCCAAATTTACAACCTTTGAACCATGCTAAGATGCATGGAACAATACGTAATTTTCAAAAAAGTAAGATATGATTACCGTGATTTAAAATTCATTAAAACTATGTTATCTTTATTTTGATCTTTTTTTAGTTTTTTCTATAGGTCACGATGAACACTTGTCTGAGAAGTGTATCTAAGCATATATTATATACGTTCGAGGTATCCTAATTCCCATCAACCTTCCTTGGTGGAGCATGAAAAATCACTAAGCTTACGTTGATGTTTTGCTTAAAAAAATAAATAAATAAATAAATAAATAATATATATATATATATAGAGGAAATGGTGTGTGGTCTGACGATCCTAGAGTTTTTGAGGAGTACCGATCATGAAAACACCACCTTAATAAGAATGTGTGTGCAACCAGAGGACTTGTGAGGATGAGAATTTATTTACTATCTCTATATATTTTCGATAGAGAATGAAAACGTAAAGATATTTATTAGTGTTACCGTTTTGAAGACCAGGAATACATGTAAGCCATGTTCTTTCCTCTGAGTAAATACAATCTGCTTATCACATCTGAAATCAATCGAATTTATAGGTAAAAAACGGTTTTCTGTACTCATGCTTGTATATACACGTGCATACATTTATGTTTATATTGATGTAAGTAATTTCATGTACCTCTAAGATAAAGACCATCTGGAGAAGAGAGTGAAACCTCCATGAAATGAGGATGCTCAAGCTGCCCATTTCTACAGAGATAGTAAACTACACAAACTTTTCTACCACTCTTCATCCCCCCTCTCTCTCTCTCCATCCTCTTTGTTCATCTAAAGTTATAAATAACCTTTGAAGATGAATAGTAGTGGGTTCACGAAATGTGTGGATAACAAATGTACAGTGATTATGAATATTTGATGGAAATTGAAGTTTGATTTTAATTGGATAAAGAAAGAAAATTATTAGTAATTTTTTAACAAAATACGAACACAATAGTCTTGGTTCTTAAAGACTGCTGAAAACCAGGAGCTTAGTTGATTTTTCTGGCGTGCACGAGTTAATGAGGCATGTGATGAGCAAGTGTCCTATAGTTTATTGACCTGACATTATTTTAGCATTTGGCATCTTTTGTTTTTATTTTCTTCTACTACTGGAATCACTTTTTGTTTTATAAACGAGTTTATTTTATGGCAAGGAGGATTACTATGGAAGTTGTTTATGTGTGCTTAGAACTTATCAGAACTAAATTTATGTACGAAAAAAAATGTAACGAAATTTATCTCTATAATAAATTGAAAAAATAATAATAATGATGATGATGTAACCTATAAATACAGGCAATATAGATTCAGACACATACTATAAGAGACTAAAATATCTAACTTAAATATAGAAAGGACAAATGAATTCCAGAAAAAAAAAATGAATATTTCGGGTGGAGACTTGATGTTGCCTAAATTTTTAAGTTTGTGAGTAATGGGAAATAGTTTGGATGTTTTGGGATGGATGTGTCATGTTGATGATGCGTCCTATATTTTTTGACGAGTTGAAGTGAATATCTTGTGCCGAGCTGGGTGGGCATGCACCGATGCACGACCAACACAGCCAAGAGTATGGCTACCGGCTGGAGCACGGTTGGGTGGGGTTTTCTAGCTATTCGATTCTTTTTGACACCTCTAAACAAGATGCCAAAATTCAGGGAACAAGATTCAACACTTTGATAAATTTTGTCAATGTCTTCTAGAGTTCCATCTTGAATATTATCATGTAGGACCAAATGCCAACATTTTCCTCACATGGGAAACCTCCAAGGTTCAAAATTCAATGGTCAAAAGCAAATCCCTTGAAACTGCTCTTACAAATACCCAAAATGTAGGTCACTACTATCTCTACCGTGACATACAGGGAATATGGAGGCAGACGTATATTTTATCAACTTATAGTAATGGTACATATAACAAATGTATTAGTGTTGTGAAAAGAGAAGAGAATAAAGAGAAGTCAATAGATTTATGTGTGTTTCATTAATAACCAAAGTCATATATTTATAGGACAGAATTAGGGATAAAACGGTAATAATTTCTAGAGTTATAGGGGTATAATTGTCATTCACTTGTAAATCCTAATAAACTTATATTTTACAACACTCCCCCTTGAATGATACATTACAAAATATCTGTCTTATTAAAATCTTATTTAATAAAAATCCAATGGGACAAAAAAAAAATTAAACGAAGGAAAAAGAGTGGTGGTTTTTTAGTACTAAAAATAAATTTTAGTCTCATTAAAACTTTACTAAGAAAATTCATTGGAAAAAAAACTTGTGCGAAGGAAAAAGAGTACAATTACTTCCCCGGATATTGATCACTAAAGATCGTTGAGTCGACACAATCCAATCTCATGAACTAATTTCTCTAGTGTAGATGTTGGCAATGCTTTTGTGAATAAATTGGTCACATTGTCACTTGAATGAACTTGTTGGATATCGATATCGTCATTCTTTTGAAACTCATGTGTATAAAAGAAATTTGGAGAAATATGTTTCGTCATGTCACCTTTGCTATAGACTCTTCTGAGTTGCGCAATGCAAGCTACATTGTCTTCATACAAAATTGTTAGACTATCTTTTGTTAAAGTTAACATGCATAATGCTTGGATATGATGGGTCGTATTTCTCAATCATATACATCATTGGCCTGCTTCATGGATTGCAATAATTTTAAAATGATTTGAAGATACTGCTGTCAAAGATTGCTTCACGGATCTTCATGATATAGCTATTCCTCCACATGTCAATATATATTCTGTTTGTGATTTAGCTTTATGGAGATTGGATAAATAAACTGCATTTGCATATCCACATGTAAACATATGATGGGTCGTGTTTCTCAACCACATACATTATCGACCTGCTTTATGGATTGCAATAATTTCAAAATGATTTGAAGAATCTTCTATCAAAAATTGCTTCACAGATCTTCATGATATAGCTCTTCCTTCACATGTAAAAATATATCTTGTTTGTGATTTAGCTTTATGTGGGTTCAATGGATAACCTGCATTTGCAAATCCCCACTAAAGCGGATTTCGACTTTTAAGAATAAAATAATTCTAAATCAATAGTATTCTTTAGGTAACGAAAAATATGTTTAACACTATTCCAATATCTGTGAGTTGGAGTAGAGTAATATTTTGCAAGGAGATTTACAGAAAAAGTTATGTCGGGTCGAGTGCAGTTTACAAAATGAGTTAATGCTCTAATTGCACTAAGATATAGTACTTCAGTATCAAGAATCGTTTCTCCATTTTTAAGCGGATGAAATATATCATTTTTTATATCAAGTAATTGAACAATCATAGGTAATGACAATGGATGTGCATTATTCATATAAAAAAATGTTTTAAAACTTTTTCTGTATACGTAGATTGGTGAAAAAATAATTCATCTGTGAAATGATCAATCTGCAATTTGAGATAAAATTTGATTTTTTTTCAAATCCTTCATCTCAAATACATTTTTCAAATAATCAGCAGTTTTATTTAACACTTCGTGACTTCTAATAAAAGTTAAATCATCAATATAAATTGCAACAAGTGCAAATCCTATATTTGTTTTCTTTATACAAACACATGGACAGATATTATCATTATTATAATCCTCTTTCAACAAATATTCGCTAAGGCGATTATACCACATGTGTTCGGATTCTTTTAATCCATATAATGATATTTACAATTTAATTGAGAACATAGTTCTCGGTCATGTATCATTTGAGCTATGTTTCAGGTATATTAAATCTTTCAAATGTAATATTAATAGTCATGTCAGATGAGTTGACTATCACGTATTTTAAATTTCATATATTGTCAAGATAACTTTATATGGACTCGTGATTTCATCTATGACGATATTTGTGAAATTCACTATGTTGAAAGTCGTACATTATACATTACGACTTCATTTTTCTCATTTCTTTTTTTTTTTTTTTTTTTTTTTTAATTTTTTTTTTCCAATTAAGCCCTCGTTTGATTCCCATTATTTAGCCACAAAAATGAAAAATATGTTTCTCTAGTAAATTCAATTTCGGATTGCATCTATTTTATTTGGCTAAACATTAATTCGATCAATATATTTTGACACATTTATTTCGATTCCTCACTATTTATGATATGATGTAGTATATCATATGTAAAAATATTATCGACAACTTTTTTCATTTCTTGTTTGATTCTATTTCTTTTTCTACAGTGACATAACTTATTTAGATATTTCAATTTTCAATATAAGCAGGTACTTGAACCTCTTCTGGGGTTTTATAATTTGTTATGTCTAAATACTCATCAAGAGTATATGCCTCCTTAATGAGATCATCTTTGTTAATTGTTTCATTTTCGTTTGAAGATTTTTGTATTAGAATCAAACACTATCACGCTTCAGGCATGCTATAGATATATCAAATAAAATGCTAACAAATTGTCCCCTAGGATATCAATTCGTATTGGAGTATTAAAAATTGGTGTGTGGGATATTGTTGATCTCTTTTATTAGTGAATGCATCTAAATAAATTATATTTCAAATTTCTGGTTCGAATGATATTTAGCAAGGATTTAGATGATGATGCATTCATACATTATTTTCAACTTCTTAATTCCTCTTCCTGAATGCTGAGAGATTTGTCCAATCAATTTGACAATAATTTTTTCAGCATTATAAAATATCACTCATTTGGGATAAGGGTTCAAATTATACATTTATCTTTACTGTTCTTTACTTTTTGTTTGGATACAATATGGTGAATTAATTGCACTATCAAATAATAAGATGAAGAAATTGAGTTCTGACCATAAGTCAATTATAACTGGGAGAACAATGATATTGGCATGATGTGTAATAGCATTTCCTGAACAAACATGGGAAGTATTTTGTTCTTAATTAAATTAATTTGAGGCATTTAACAAGCAATAGTGTAAATCATATATCGACATCTCAACTAACGCTTATTAAAATGTTGAGAATTATGCCCACTAACAAGACCATGCAATTATTTAGTATTTGTATCAAATTTATTAGATACAAATAACAATTAGATGATCAATGTGGTGGGTGATGGGGCCTCATGTATTACCTTAATTAATTTTCAGAAATATAGGGAATTCAATCCCTGTTTTAGTTAGTAATGTTTAATAATCAAATGTCGATAAAGATAACAAATAATATATAGGAATTCATTCGATTGAATAATCTTCTGGTTTTTCATTGAACATATATCGAAAAATTTGAATTTCGCATCATTATTGATCCAATAATGGTCCAACTAGTCACGCCAAATAATAAAATCAAATTCAAATAGTCAAATTAATCAATGTTCTCACAACATTAATTTTATGTTTTTCTTCAGGGATAAATATGAATTCAAAATTGTACATTATTCGAAACATGTGCTACTTTGAAAGCATGTTGTATTTTTTTTTATAGCTCATTCAAAAGCAATATGTCAATATCTTTCTGGAATATTGAAAATTATAATTCAAACTCTTCATAAGCAATCAAATATTATTATAATAAATTATAAAATAATTTACTCTTCAAGAGTAAAAATATAATTTATATTAGATTGTATGTAATTATACTTTTCGAGATCGAGTAAGATCTCATTAGAATATTAATGAAAATTATAATGTGCTATTTTAAGGTCACATTATATTTTACTATTGACTTTTTAAGAACAATAAATCAATATTCTTATGAAATGTGAAGAATTTTAATGTTGTGCTCTTTAGGAGCAATAAAATATTATTGTTTACAATAATAATTGAGATTTGTTGCATGTACAGAATTTACCTGCCAGAATTTTACCAGAAGACACTTGGCTACAACCTGTCGAATAATGGCAAAAGAAGAAAACATATTGACGAACCAAATGCTGCCATCTGGTGGAATACTATGAAGAGGAATTATTGATAATAATTATGTAAAGATGTACTCTTCTGGAGTAAAAACATAATTTTATGTTAGATCTTATATCATTATACTCTTTAAGAGCAATAAAATTTAATCAGAACGTCAATATCTAAATAGGTATGCAGAATAATGAATATGTAAATAAATAGAGTAATTTAATTTGTGATTTTACATAGAACCGATCAATATTGAAGAATATTAAAATTATAATATCATTTTCTTTTGAAGCAATTAATTTTTTTTTAAAATATTAATAATATTGTGTTTCTCTAAGAACATCAACAAATTTATTTATTTATATTAAACTGTGCTTTCTTTAAGAACACAATGAGATATATAATCTTCGAAAGTTAAATATAATATTCTTCTAAAATATTGATATTAATGATTCATTCTACTTTTGAGCTAAACAACATAATTTATGTTCTACATGAGTAACAATGAAATATTCTTTTGAAATATTTATCTAACGTAAGTTGTGTTTTTTTTAGAACATCAACACCATATTCGTTAAAAATAAATATAATTTAAATTATGCTTCTTCAAGAGCATTGAGTCAATATTCTTCTGAAATATTGAAATTATAATATTAAGCTCTTAATGAGCAAAAATATTAATAATATTGTACTACTTCATGAGCAACAACGAACTATTTATAATAAATAGATATACAATCAATATTCTTCTGAAATATTAATTATAATGTTATGCTACTTTTGAAGCAACATGATAAATTATTAATTTAAAGTTTATAGAAGAATATCTAAAAATATTTAATTATCATATAGTTATGAAAAATTAATTACCAAACTTGTATTAGAAAAAAAAAATCTCCATACATAGAAGTTAACAAAATTGGTTAAATCTTTTACCAACATGCAAAAGATACTAAACATGCACATAAATTTTACATATACAAAAATCAAAGATGGAGTTAATGCGTGGCAGATTCAAAAGACAAAATTAATACGTGAATAATATGTGACAAAATTGATGGTATGTGAATCAAAAGACATGAATTAATGTATACAAATTACGCATACAAACATGAATTAGAATTAATACGCATACCAAAGAAATGTCGAGATGAAAAAACAACATCGTTATGATGTATATGTAACAGAAAACCTTTCTTCCAAATTCCTTCAACAGCCAAATTAATGG